TATTTATCTCTCACCTAAACAGCCACGTTTAACCCTATTGAGCTCATCCTCACGTCGAGCAGACAGGACGAGACGTGACCCACACTTTGCTAGCTGATAGGCCAGCTCCTCTCCGATGCCACTGGAGGCTCCAGTGATCCACACCACCAGCCCTTTCAGCTTTTTCTCTGGTAAACACAAAAAAACTCATTCAACACTTCATGTGATATGCACCATCGGCCAACATGAGCCTCAATTTATTTTTTTTATGTGGATTAGACCACAACTGGTTTTGATCTCCTCTAGGGACCTTCAAAACAATTCAAGAAATGCATTTATTTAAGATATATTACATATTTTTCTATAATAACTCTGTGGAAGCTTGACAGTGGTGGAAGGAGTACTCAGATCTTTTACTGAAGTAAAAGTAACTGTACCACAGAGTAGAAATACTCTATTTAACATCCTGCATTCAAAATATCACTCAAGTAAACGTACAAAAGTGATAGCATAAAAGTAAACAATAAGTACCAACAGTAAAAGTTCCCAATATGCAGAATGGCTAATTTCAGATTAATATATTATTGGATGGTAATTACTAATGTATTAATGTATTCTGGCAGCACAGTGATGCAGTGGTTAGCACTGCGCCTCACAGCAAGGGGGTTCCTGGATTGAACATGGGGTGGGAGGTTTGAACTTTGGGGTGGGGGATCCCTTTTGTGTAGCGTTTGCATGTTATCGTGTCAGTGTGGGTTTTTTCAGGGTACTCCAGTTTCCTTCCACCATCCAAAGACATGCAGGTTCGATTAATTGGTGAATTGGTGACTCTAAATTGGCTGTGTGTGAGAATGTGAGTGTGAATGGTTGTCTGTCTCTATGTGTCAGCCCTGTGATAGTCTGGCGACCTGTCCAGGGTGTACCCTGCCTCTCGCCCAATGTCAGCTGGGATAGGCTCAAATAATGGGATAATGGTCAAAGTAACTTGTAACTAGAGTTGTCAAATAAATACAGTGCAGTAAAAAGTACAATATTTGCCTCTGAAATGTAGTGACATAGAGGTAAAAGATTGGCATAGAGTGGGAATACTCAAGTGAAGTACCTTAAAGTTGTACTTAAGTACAGTAGTTGGAGTAAAAGTACTTCCACCACTGACAATGACTTTTACAGAGATAAAGTTTTGAAGCATTTTTGCTTGTTTATTTACTTTTTTTGCCACTTCAGACTGTACTGCATTTCAGAGGAAATTATTTGACCTTTTACGGTGCTGCTGAAGTCACTACACTGGCTGCCTGTATCTTTTTGAATTGATTTTAAAGTTGTTTTACTTATTTATAAAGCTTTAAATTACTTCCCCCCTCCATACATCAGAGATTTTCTATCATTTAATGTTCTACCCAAATCACTAAAGTCCTCCACTGCTTTACTTTTAAATGTTCCTCATGTGTCCCATTAGTACTGGTGAAATCGCCTTCTGTTTTTACGCCCCTAAACTCTGCAATTCACTACCTCTAGATATTAGACTGGCTAGCACTCTCTCTGTATTTTTAAAAGTAAATTAAAGACCAATCTTTTTAATCTGGCTTCTAACGTGGAGTGACATTACAGTCTTGATTTTTTATGTTTTAACCACTGGTTTTTACCTTTTTTTTTATATTTCTACTATTCATTTTTTTCTATTTTATCTATTTATCTTGTTACTTTCTTTTTTTCTAGGGAGTTTAATCATCTTTTTTGTCAATTTGCTTTTTTAATATTTTATTGTCTTGTGTCTGTGTCATTTCAATTTTGCCATGTGACACATTTTGGGCTGCATGTTTGTATGACAGGTGCTATATAAATAAAGTTGAGTTTCACACTATTGCATTTATTAAACAGCTATAGTAGAGTATAGTATTTGCTGTGGGGATTTTTTTCATACATTATTTTTATTTCCTAGTACCTTATTAAACACAACAACACTGACACACTACACACTACATTCATCTGACAGCTATAGATACCGGTTACTGTCTGGGTTTCGCATAATAATATTAATTTTACATTCAGGTCTTTCATATGAAGACGTGGGTAAATCAATCCCAGATATAACTAGGCTGAACTGAAGACTTTAGGAAATTTTTACTACATGTAAAAAGCGGAATTTGACCTTTGTAGAGCTCAGAGGAGCATCATGGCAGTTGGTCATGGATCAACCGTTAAACGTTAGCTAACTGTTGTTTAACGGTTGTTCATCAGTGGTTTACTAACGATACCTCACTGAAGGCTAATATTAGTTGACAAACGCTGTCAGTGAATCCATTTTGAATAAAAGACGACACTCATTCAGAGACATGCAGACAGACAGGTCACATGAACTCACCTGGCCTGTGTCCCAACAGACTCGCCCACAGCAAAGTGTAGTCTGCATCCCCGAAAGCAAAACACAGGAAGTGAATAAGTGCATGAAGTGCTATTAAATACCACAGGGCGGATACGATGCAGCAGTCCATTTGTGTTAAAGGAATAAACGTAAGATTTAACTTTGGTAGCTGACCACTGCTGTCTAAGACAAGATTTTGCTATCACCGGATATCGACGTCACTTCCGGTCGGATATTTTCAAAATTAATGCTCGGTAACTGTCAGTTCTTGAAGAAGCAGCAGACGGAAAGATGAACGTATATTGTCGTAGATGCATTGTGTGATATGTTGTGATGTTCTTCCGTGTTTTTAGTGCATTGTGATTGTATGATGTTTTAAACTGTAGATTTTTCATTACACTTCAGGTCGACATGTAAAAGCCCAACTAGGGACAAGAGTTGAAAATTATCAGTGGCTATAAACTCTGTGCAACACATCAGTCCCATACTCTGTATTGAAACTATGTTAAATTGCATTATCACTATCAAATAAATACAATTACATTAAAAAAAAGAACATTAATGGTGTGAAGGAAGCACCGTATATTTTACTTTAACATTGATCAACAAATTATAAGGGTCATCCTGTGGATTAACATCATAATTTACCCTCCTGAGACCCGAACTTTTGTTTGGTATGCATTTTTTTATTTCTCCTAGCTATTTGGGATCAGTAGGACTCGATAAGTATAAAAACTAAACATTGTCAACGATGATAGAGTCCCAATGTCCTCAGATGAGTACTCCCTAATTAACAGCGTCTTAGCTTGTTACTGTTGCTAAAACTAGTCATATTTGTTGGCATATCAAACTACAAACATTATTAATCATAAATAAACAAGTTTCATCCATAAAATGTGATCAAGTTTTGGACCTTGTCCACTTTTGTGTCGGGATCAGCTGCAGACTGGCTTAGCAGATATAGCAGCCATCTTGTTTTTACATGGATTATTGTATTGTGTAAGTATCCTTATGCATGTTCACTGACGGAAACCTTGTTATGACATTTACTTCCTCTAGATAGTCAAGTTTGGCCGTCTTTTCGGCGCTCTGCCAGGGCCACTAGATGGGACTAAAAAGTGTCCATGAATAAGGACAACAGGTCTAAGTTAAGTAGAATGAAGTATAAGGTCCAGTAAACCAAAAATGAGATGTCCTGATATGAGGACCCAGGGTCTCAGGAAGATATAGGCCAGAATTTTAGTCAGGATTACTTAGCACACTCAGTCCTCCAGATTAACCTGCAAGATGGCCCTGGGGCAAAATTAGCTGCTGGGACACTGTGTACAGTATTTCTGTGTTGGAATATTGCATGGCCCTGAGTTTGCTGTGTGATTATTTAATTAAAAAATCAAATAATTTAGGAATATGTATCATATAAGAACAACTTAACAGATTTACCCCAAGCCTAGTCCCATTTACCAGCCTGGTGTGGCTACACATTTTGACAAATTAACGCCTTTTTCAATTAGACACCTGGTCTGGTTGCCAAGCAGTTCATTTTCTATAGACAGCCTATAAACAGGATTGTTGGCTACCTCAAATTATGTGTTAATTCCACACTTAGCCTGTAAGTTATTCATATTCCTTTAGTCAGTAAAGGTCCTCAGATCAAAGGAATCACAAGGGTTTTTCTTAAAAATTAATACAAGTTATGAGGACTGTTTTAACAGGATAAAGTGGTGCTGTGTCAGTATGCCGGGTGCCATAACTAAGTAATATTCATACTGGTTTAAATAAACAATTTGATTGTATTTCCCGATTTTTGCTGAGCAACAGTTGTGTGTGAAAGGAGTTAAAGGCCTGTTCCATATATAGGCCTGTTGGTTTCAGTGATTTAAGCAAAAAATAGCCCAGGCTATTAGTTGAAATTTTACAGGTAGGTCATTTTATTGTCAAATGCAATTGTGCTTCAGTAGTTCATATTTCCATTACCAGTTTTTGGGATCTTTTCACTATCTAAGGCAGTTTTACCAATCAATCTGTCAGTCAGTCAGTCTTTTTTATCTATCTGCTTTTAATTTGATAGGCAACACACTTTCCTCTTTCTGCTTTCTTAAGGGTTGCAAAATCTGCCCTTTTCTCACTGTGGCAAATGTCAGCTTTTTACAATAATGAATGTCAACCAAAATGGTTCCACAGAAACTTCTCTAAAAGTGGCTGTTTCAAAACAAAATCCTTTTCATAATGGACAGGGAAAAACCAAAATAAATCAAGCTCACCCTCATTGAGTTCAAATGTGCAGGAGGGCAATACACAAATACACAAAGGCATCATACAACCGAAAAAGAGATGGGAAAATGTGTCCATGGCCTCTTAAGTTGCAATAATGCACAGGTCAACGGAGAATGAACAGGAGAAACTGAAAAAGGTGACCGTGACACTGGATTCTATTAAGAGGGGTACAGTTTCTTCTTTAGCAAAATCCTGAATAATATTATTATATAGGGCAAGTCTTTAAAGTACCGGTTGAATCATATTCATTACCAGTTTGTCTTTCTTAGCATTCAATATAAAGCCTTCTGTATTTTGCATGTGTCTTTGAAATGGGCCATGCATCTATACAAAATGTTAATTTTCTTTGATTATAGGCCATACAGATGGTTAATGCAGGTATTATGCAGCATTGACTTGCAGAATTCTTTTCAAATTCTGAACACCATAAAACAATGACATGATTATTAATGACACTGTAACGATTAACATTGACAACACTTAGATCATGTCCTCTGTATTTTTTTCTGTGGTTTTAGCAACCAGGAAAAGTTAAACTTCTAAAGTTAAAAAACTTTCACACAATATTTTATGCATATACTGTTGTATATAGATTTCATACACTTAAATTTGACCACTTTATGGACAAGAAGCTGCTGAGGAACTAAGGCAGGTTATCAGTATTAAGGCTTATGCAATTCCTTATCTAAGATTAAGGTGAATTTATTGTCATTTGAAATGCAGTTGTATGCTACAAAAGAAAAAACAAACAAAAATAATCGATTATTTATGGTGGAGTGTGGAGAATGAGATGGACTTCAGGAGTCTCACAACCTGAGGAAAGAAGACGCTCTGTGGTCCGGTAGTACAGCAGGTACCTCTGTATCACTTGTCAGACGGCAGCAGAGTAAACAAGCTGTTGCTGAGGCAGATACTGTCTCTTAGTAGGGCTCTGCGCCTCACGTCACCATGATTACTGATGCTCAGTAGATTCAATCAATCAATCAATTTAATTTATAAAGCCCAATATCACAACTAACAATTTGCCTCAGAGGGCTTTACAGCATACGACATCCTTCTGTCCTTTGGACCCTCACAGCAGAAAAACTCCCCAAATAAATCTTTAACGGGGAAAGAAACGGTAGAAACCTCAGGAAGAGCAACTGAGGAGGGATCCCTCTTCCAGGACGGACAGACGTGCAATAGATGTCATACAAAGCAGATCAACATGATAAATTTACAGTAATCCGTATGACAAACTGATACACAAGGAGAGACAGAGACAGAGAGAGATGCAGGACAGACAGTAGTTTACAACATTAATTTAAGTAATAATATTATAATAATAATTACGGCTATTGTGGTACAATATGTTGTAAGTATATATTAATATATGATAGTATATGTATGTGACAATAATCATATGTGTATAATAACAGCAGAAGTATGACTAATGATGACAGCAGCAGCAGGAGGCATCTGGCAGGACCACGGCAGCAGCACAACCACACACGTCACACTATCCAGGCACTGCTGTGATATAAGTTAACCTGCGAGACCAGTGGAGCACAAAGACTCTGGAGAAGAAGCCGAGTTAGTGACATGCAGTAGAGCCGAGTTAGCAAGATGCAGTAACAGGACATGAATGTTAGCAAAGGAAAGAGAGAGAGAGAAGGTGCTCGGTGTATTATAGGCGGTCCCCCGGCAGACTAGGCCTAAGTCAGCCTAACTAGGGGCTGGTACAGGGCAAGCCTGAGCCAGCCCTAACTATAAGCTTTATCAAAGAGGAAAGTCTTAAGTCTAGTCTTAAATGTGGAGACGGTGTCTGCCTCCTGGACCGAAACAGGAAGATGATTCCACAGGAGAGGAGCCTGATAGCTGAAGGCTCTGGCTCCTGATCTACTTTTGGAGACTTTAGGGACCACGAGTAACCCTGCGTTCTCAGAGCGCAGTGTTCTGGTGGGATAATATGGCACTATGAACTCTCTAAGATATGACGGAGCCTGACCATTTAAAGCTTTGTAAGTTAGGAGAAGGATTTTAAATTCACTTCTGGATTTTACAAGGAGCCAGTGCAGAGAAGCTAAAACAGGAGAAATGTGATCTCGTTTCTTAGTTCCTGTCAGCACATGTGCCGCCAAATTCTGGATCAGCTGGAGAGAATTTAAAGACTTATTAGAGCAACCTGATGATAGGGAATTACAGTAATCCAGCCTAGAGGTAACAGAAGTGTGGACCAATTTTTCTGCATCTTTTGGGGACACGATAGGCCTCATTTTTGCAATGTTATGCAGATGAAAAAAACACAGTCTGTGAGGTTTGTTTAATATGGGAGTCAAAAGACAAATCAAATATTACTTTGAGGTACCCGTGATTTTCTGGGTGGTTTTAATCACCTGCTGCAGAGCCCTCCTGTCCTGGGTTGTGCACATATATGCCAGTTTGTAATGTTTACAGTCAGGGTGTTTTCTATTGCTCCCCTTAGAAGTTAACAAGAACTTCGCAAAGGAATTTTGCCTTCTTAGGTTTCATTAAAAAACACAGCCATTTTTGAGTTTTTTTGAATTTCATTTTTGGTTGTTTATGTTTGATGACCATGCTGGGTTGTCTGAGATGCTGATTCCAAGGAACTGTTCACTTGCTTCACCTCTACAACAGTGTGAAGATCCTTCTTTTTCCATTTTATATAATATTAAACTGCTCCATACATCATACAAATATACGTTTGAATTCGTGAATCCTTTAAATTGATCCCATATGTAAACTGTGCCCAATCAAAACACTGTCATCTATGATATGACATGACATATATGCCCACCCACATCACTGTGGATGCAAGATATTGTAGATTATTTTTTTCACAACAGCTACATTCGACTTATTACAGATCTTTGATAAATGATGTGCAGGTTAGGCCTATATATCTAATTTGGGAGTCCATGTTCTTGAATGCATGCCTCGTGTTTTGCAGCCTGAGCAGCCACAACTCTACAG